TTTTTTTTTTTTTTTTTTTTTTTTTTTTTTTGTTTATTTACTTGAGAAAGTACATCCATACAGTACAGGTAAAATAAGCTTAAAGTTTAGAAGAAAGAGATTGTCATACTGGCCTCAAACCCAGAATCCTATTGGCTTTAGCCTCATAACCTGGGCATTCTGCCACCATGCCTTGTGCTAGATTATTTTAAATATTTATATATGTATCCATTGGTTATTTGAAAGCAAATCTTAACCAATTTTCATAAGTAAATAGCTATTATACCTCTAATCCCAGTATTCAGAAGGCAGAAGCAGGGAGATCTTATAATTTCAGGCCAGCAAGGGCCACATAGTAAGACCCTTCTTAGAATCTCAAAAACAAGCAAAAAAAAAAAAGTATTTTAAAACTTAGTTCCTAAGTAATTTTGTTTTTATAACATATGCAGATTTTAAAACTTTTAAGTTGTTTCAGCAGTAAACTTACCAGAAGGATGACTCCTACCCTTTAGGAAAGTGTTTGATGCAGGTGTGAATATTTTCTATAAATTGAAAGATTTTTTTGCTGATTTTAGTACAAAATAGCATATGAGGCATTTAATAGATGTGTCAAAGAGAGATCTGTAATTTGCTTCTTGATTATATGTGGGGTTGAGAGTCTTTGAAAGTGTTCCCTAGATGGATCGTCACAACTGTTCTTAATGTTGTTTCCCCTTTCCCTTTTACTCTGGAGAGTTCATTCTCGGGAGAAATGAAGAAAATAGTAAACATGTTTAAAATTCACCTGAGCTGTGCTTTCCTACCTCAGCCACCCTGAGACAAATAGCACAAGTATGGAGTGCTGTTAGAACTTTATAGCTGGTGGTTTTTCTTCCCCTTTATTTCCATTCCCTCCCTTCGTTTTTTGAGATAGAGTCTCACTTTTTTTTTAAGACATGTCCTGAACAGGCCAGGTGATGTGACCTTTATTTGACTTTGGATCCTCTTATATTTGTCTCCTCCATATTGGGATGGCAAGCATAGAGCACATACTCACGTTTTATTTGGTTTTGAGATTGAACCCAGGACCTTGTATGTGTTAGGCAGCCACTGTACAGACTGAACAATGTATAGCCTCAGCCATATCTCAGTTATCTAGCTAGTATGACAAGAATGTCTATGTACTGCCTTTAGTGTGGTCATTGAAAGTTCTCTTTTCTCTCTCCCCTTTTTTGATAGGGCAGATCATATGATTTGATTTTGTTGATACTAAATATCTCAGGGAGGGGTTGGAGAAATGGCTCAGTGATTAAGAGCACTATTGTTCTTACAAAAGATTCCAGTTTGGTTCCCTGAACCCACTTGGTGCCTCTTCATAAACATCTCTAACTCCAGCTCCTGAGTTTCAAGGCATCTGACACACTTTGCTGACCTATTGGTTGCACCTAGTACACATATAGACATGTGCAAAACACTCAAGCGCTAAGAATATACCAGAGGTCAGATGAATGCTCACTGGGAAGTGTTTGCTGTGCAGGTCTAACAACCCAAAATTGCTTCCCAGAACTCATATAAAAGCCAGACACAATATGCAAATTATTTTTGATGCTTTTAATTGACACATTGCTTTTTTCTTTTTCTTTTCTTTTTGGCAGGTAGAGGAGACCAGGCTGGCCTGGAACTCACAGAGATCTGCCTGCCTCTGCCTCCTGAGTGCTGGAATTAAAGGTGTGCGCCACCACCGCCCAGCCCTGGCTGACCTCACATTCACAGATCTCTGTCTCTAATTCCGGAGTGTAGTGATTAAAGGGTGTACTACCACACTTGACTTTGAGACTACTTACTCAGTATGACTCCTAAAAAATATGAAGAATAGCCTGGTGGTGGTGGTGCACATCATTAATCCCACCACTCAGGAGGCAGAAGCAGGTGGATCTCTGAGTTTGAGGCCAGCCTGGTCTACAGAACTAGTTATAGGACATCCAGGGCTACACAAAGAAACCCTGTCTCCTCAAAAGACCCCTCCACTCCACCCCCAAGAAAAATGGAGACCAGAAAATGAGTTAGTCTGGGGAGATAGCTGAGTCAGTAAAATGCTTGCCATGGACATATGAGGCCTTGAGTTCTGATTGTTAACATCCACATAGAAATCTAGTCTTGGGCGAAAGAGATAGCTCAGTAACTGAGAGTTTCTACTATGGTAGGTACCCATCTGAGTTCAGTTCCTAGCACCTTCAATGGACAACTCACAGCAGTCTACTGTAACTCTAACTCTGGGGGATTTGACATCTTATTCTGGCCTACATGGAAAGATAGACAGAGGGTACACATGGTTGTGACCCTGAATGTGGTAGGAGCTGAACGAAGGTCTTCTGTTAGAGCAGTAGGATTATCCATCTCTTTAGCCCCAGATAATATAAAAATAAAAAGTAGGAGAGAGTAAAGTTATGTTTTTTGAGTTGGGGTTTTGCTATGAAGCTCTGACTGGCCTGTAACTACATAAACCACCCTATCCTTGCCTCTCCTCCCAAATGCTAGGATTATTGGTGTTCATGAACATTCCTGGCTATGAATTGTTTTTTTAAAATACTTTTATTGTGCCCTCCCCCCGGTGCTTAGAGAGTTATGATTTGTAACTCATGTGCTTGTTTGAATGTACCCTCTTACACTAGGTGTTGAACGGCAACCCTCTCTTCCAAGATGTCAAAAACAAACAAATCGAAGTCTGGGTCTCGCTCTTCTCGCTCAAGATCTGCATCCAGATCTCGGTCTCGATCGTTTTCCAAGTCTCGGTCCAGAAGCCGATCTGTCTCCCGTTCAAGGAAACGCAGGCTGAGGTAGGGGCACAGTTTTATCTGTTGAGATGATGGCTGAGCTGTTTGGGGCATTGAAGGACTTTGGTCACTTCTGTTCCTGTCACATGGCAGTTAGGATGGGTTTTCATTGTCAGGCTGTTTGCTTAATTCTTGTCCTTTGACAGTACACTTTAGAAGAAAGCATTTTGTTTGTGTCTAAACTCCTTGCTTGAAATCATATAGCTGGTTATCTTTACTAACTTGATTTTGAAGGCTTAAAACAAACTCATTTATCAGCAATGAAAAGAGGAATTTACCAGAGATCGTGGAAATATATTAATGTGCTGGTCACTAAGTTACCATTTATTTAACAAGACATCTTAAAACTAAAAGCTTTAAGTTTTAAGTGAGTGTTAAAAACACCAGCAGTGTTCTTTTACTAAATGTGAAAATGATTGTTCTTTAATTTATCGTGAAAACCTTTAGTTTTCAAACCGTCAGTAAACATCTCCATTTCAGTTGTTCTCTTGGTTTGTTAAGGCAGGTTTCTCATTTCATTGAAAGCATGGTGGCTTTGTAACATGTAGTCCATGCTGGCATTGAACTTGAGATCCTTGTGTCTCATCTTCTTGATTCCTGGGATTAAATTTTCTTCTAAGGATGAATTTAAAAAACTTACAATGCTTATAATTTTCTTCATGTTGTTGTAATATGAGCGGAGGCAGGGCTGCGTCCCCAACACCCCGGCCGCTTGGCTAGCTTATGCCCGAAATAACAGCACACAAACTGTATTCATTTAAAGAACTGCTTGGCCCATGAACTCTAGCCCTTACAGGCCAATTCTCGCACCTGGACTAGCCCATTTCTAATGATGTGTGTAAGCACCCCAAGGTGCGCTTACCGGGAAGATTCTAGCCTATGTCCATCCTGGTGTCTCTGCTCCAGAGAGCAGCTGTTGGGTCTCTCCGGGAGCAGAGCAGAGTCTGACCTCACTTCCTCTTCCGCCCAGAATTCTATTCTGTTTATTCCTCCCACCAATGCTTTAACCTATGAGGCCAAGCAGTGTGTTTATTACTTAACCAACGAAATCAACAGATTGATATGACACTCCCACATCATCATGTGAGTAGGGGGAAACACAGGTGTAAATACTGGAGGGGATCTTTGTGCAGTTTGTTTTTCTTTCAAATTGAGCTAGCAAGGTACTGTTGTATCATTTTATCCTCTTAAGAAGTCTCCTAATAAGTATCTGGAATCTTTTTCTGAAAATTTATTATGACCTTAAAACTTATTTAGATAAAGTCAATAAAGTTTTGTTATTGATGGCTTCTGTAGCTCTATAGCACTTAAACATTAAATGTATAATTGGCTAAAGAAAAAAATATTCAAAGTTAAATCTCAATGACTCTGAAAAGTCAGCCTCAAGACTGAAGGGAAAACTACTGATTTTATGTTTATACCTCAAGAGGTTAATGTCAAGGCTTTCCACCCAGTCTTGATTTAGGTGATTTAAATTTCATTTTCAGCTCATTTTGTTCTGAAAGATGCCATTTTAAAATTTAATTCAGCAAATGGAAGCTTAATAATTGGTTCAAAGCCAAGCATGACTCAACAGACAAAGATAAACAACAAAATTGAACTGACACAGAGCAAATCGAAACATGCCAACCATCTCTGGAACAGCGGGAATTCTGGGCAGATCTTGTCTCTTATGCTGCAAATTTGGCATGGTGGTTGACTTGAGAAATGAAGGAGCAGTGTCGTAAACAGGCAATTTGTTGAGTAAGTCTAGAGCTAGTTTAAGTGCTATCTTGTTACCTAGGAGACTTTTGGATTCCAGAAGGTTTGGGTTTTTTTTCCCCCCTAGAAAACATGCTTTTTAAGAAACAGATAAGTTGCTGGGTAGTGGCACACGCCTTTAATCCCAGCACTCAGCAGAGGCAGGTGGATCTCTGTGAGTTCAAGGCCAGCCTGGTCTACTAGAGCTAGTTCCAGGACAGGCTCCAAAGCTACAGAGAAACCCTGTCTCAGAAAATCCTCCCCCCCCAAAAAAAAAAAAAAACACAGATAAGTTTGCCACTGTATGCTCAATTTTTTATTTCTGGCTTATCTGTTTCATGGTCTTGTTTTTGTTTTCCCTCTCCTACAAGGAAAGTATCTATCCTGAGAGTTTGAGGAACCATGCCTTTAAATTAACTAACTGCTGACTTCTACAGAATTGGAGAAAGCTCATTTTTTTCCCTTTATTGCACAGACTGTATCCTTTTCAGTGACTCTTTAAATAACTTCTTTTGCAGTCTGCAGAGCCTCATGTTTCTGCATCTTACAGTGGCTGCAGGTTTGGGTGCAGGGGGCCTACAAGGTCCTCCCTTATTCTAGTAATTGGTAAGAGAAGCAGCAGTAGGCCTAAATGTGGGACCATGAATCACACCCTTCTTAGTGCTGGTGATGGATCAACTCCTCTAAGCAGAGCCCTTCAGTGGGGTCCTGTTATGTTTTCATAGCCTACATCTGCCTTTCCTTTCTTTTCTTAATTTTTACTGGTTCTGAATGAAAAATATAGAAGGTAAGTTTTTATTCTTGACTTTAAATTTTGCTTAAATAGCAACCATTAAGCAGAAATTAGATGCATCTTTGCTAGTTATTCTTCGTGGTGTAGGTGCATCTAAGAACATTGGGTAATACTAGAAAACCAATTCTTTTTTACCTTTAAATTGAAGGTAAGCTTCTCCTTAAAGTTCTATCTGCTGGGGCTGGAGAGATGGCTCAGAGGTTAAGAGCACTGGCTGCTCTTCCAAAGGTCTTGAGTTCAACTCCCAGCAACCACATGGTGGCTCACAACCATCTGTAATGAAATATGCTGCCCTCTTCTGGCCTGCAGGGACATATGCAGGCAGACCACTGTATACTTAATAAATAAATCTTAAAAAAATACTATCATTCTATTCTCCAATTGACTAAAGCTGATGGAATTGTCTCCAAGAACTTTTGATCAGAAGAGATGGTGGGAAATCTGTCATAAATAAAAGTGAGAAAAAAGTTAAAAAAAAAATACTATCTGCTTAGTTATCAAGTTCTTAAAGCAACACTATCTACTAAATGGAATTACAATAGTAACTCCTCCTTATCTCCAGGGATACTGACTCCTTGTATGCCTGGTATTAGACCTGATCCCTATACATAATACTATCATAAAGCTTAATTTACAACAGAAAGAGAATGTTACCACAATAAAAACTATTGAAACATGGTAAATACTAAAGAATTGGGCTGGCAAGATGGCTCAGCGGATAAAGGAGCTTGGTGCCAAGCCTGAGGATAAAATTTTATCCCTGGGATCCATAAAGTCGAAGATGAAAACTCACTCTTTCAAGTTGTCCTTGACCTCCCACACATTGTACACTGTGGCATGCACAGACCCACATACAGACAGACAAACAGGGGAGCACTAAAGAGTTATTTCTGGAATTACCACTTAATATTTTAATATTCATTACTTTGAATTGCCGCGAGTAAGAGACTTTGCAAAGCAAGTTGATTTTGAATAAAGGAAGGGAAGGAGACTATCATTTTATTACTTTTTTTCAAGGTTTGTTTTTATTTTATGTGTATGAGTGTTTTGCCTGTCTGTGTATGTTTGTGCACCATCTTGGAGGCCAGAAGAGAGGCAGAGTCTCTGAAGCTGGAGTTAACGAGAACTGTGAGCCAGCATGGGAATGTTGACTGAAACCCAGGTCTGCTTCAAGAGAAATGCTCTTAATCACTGAGTTGTCTGTCCAGCTCCTATTATTTTGTGTCACTTTTACTTGTGTGTATGTCTATGGTCAAGCAGTGCCAGAGTGAACTAAAGGGGTTAGAGAACAAATTGCAGGAGTTGATTCTCTCCTGTTGTATGTTTCCCAGGGATTGAACTATGGGTTGAAATGCTTGGTGACAGGCACCTTTACCTCCTGAGCTCTGACCAGCCTCAAGAATTATCATTTTAAAAGCAAACATATAGGCATTGGGGGGGGCGGGTTCGAGACATAGTTTTTCTGTAGCTTTGGAGCCTGTCCTGGAACTAGCTCTTATAGACCAGGCTGGTCTTGAGCTCACAGAGATCACCTGCCTCTGCCTCCCGTTTGCTGGGATTAAAAGCATGTGCCGCCGCCCGCCAGGCATTCTGGTACATGGCTTTTAAAAAAAAAAATATTTATTTATTTATTATGTATACAATATTTTATCTGTGTGTTTGCCTATAGGCCAGAAGAGGGCACCAGACCCTATTACAGATGGTTGTGAGCCACCATGTGGTTTCTAGGAATTGAACTCAGGACCTTTGGACGAGTAGGCAATGCTCTTAACTTCCGAGCCATCTCTCCAGCCCCCTGGCACATGACTTTAATCCCAGCATTTGGGGGGCATAGGCAGGCGGATCTCTTGAGTTTGAAGCTAGTCTGACCATGTCTCAAAAACTAAAGAATCAAAGCAAACGTAGCTCAATGTCTCTCCATGGAAGAGTGCTTGCTAAGAGTGTGTAAGGTTCTTCTGTGTTTGGTTACCAGCACAAAACAAAGCCTCTCAGGCAAGTTGATTAGAAAGGTCACTTTAAAAAAAAAAAATGAAATACTACCCCTGTGTGGTAGGAACGTGCTCTACCAATGAGCGACATCCTTGTTCCCTTCTAAATTTTGTTTTCAAACAAACTCACGTTCTCCTACTTTAACTTCCCAGGTAATTAGGATTGCACATATATTCTTAACTACTGGAAGGTTTTTGTTTTGTGTTTGTGCCTATGCTTGCTAGATAAAGATATCAAATCTTTTGAGCTGGAGTTACAGATGGTTGTGAATTTATGCTGTGGGTCCTGAGAACCAAATTGTGGTCCTCTGAAGGAGTAGCAAGTGCTCTTACACAGAGCCATCTCTCCATTCCCTCATTGTTTTTGTTTATTGACAGTATTTTCAAACTTGCTGGGTAGTCTTGAGATATTCTTGCCTTTTCTTGATACTCCTACCTTCACCTCGAAAGCGTTGGGGTTATAAGTGTGCACTACCATACCTATCTAGACTCTTAATTGGTACAAAATAATGGATTTCATTGTTTTCAGACATGAATTCAAAAATACTTCGATCATGCTATTGTTCCTGAAGACATATGTTTTGGGAAAATATTTTTGCAGTATTCTCTTGTGATATTAATATAATAATTGGCAGAATAAATGGTATTCAAGAACCTTATCAAATACCCTTTATCATAACACTTCAGAGGCAGAAGCAGGTGATTCTCTGGGAGTTCAAGTCCAGCCAGGGCTACGTGAGACTGTGTCTCTTAAAGAAGGGGGGAGGGACTCGGAATTTGTAGAAACCATTTTTTTATTTGTCATGTGTGTGTTTTGCACATATGGAAATCAGAGAACAACTTGTGGGAATTGGTTCTCTCCACCATGTGGGTTCTTGATTAGATCAGCCTGAAAGTGGTACTCAGGTTGTCAGACTTGGCGCTCATTGCCCTTATCTTTGACTCACAGGGGTCTTAGGGTTACTAATCGAGGAGGAAAAGGATTTATTTGACTTCCATATTGCTGTTCATCATTGAAGAGAGTCAGGACCTGTAGGCAGGAGCAGATGCAGAGGCAGAGGGGTGCTGCTTATTGACTTGTTCAGCCTGCTTTTTTACAGAGCCCAGGACTACCTGCCCAGGGATGGTCCCACCTACAATGGTCTGGGTCCCCACCCCCATTTATTGCTAATTAAGAAAATACCATACAGGCCTGATCTTAATGGAGGCATTTTCTCATTTGAAGCTCCTTCCTCTCTGATGACTCTAGCTTGTGTCAAATTTTTATATAAAACTAGCCTTTTTTTTTTTTTAAAGATTTATTTATTTATTCTATGCACAGTGTTCAGCCTCCAAGTATGCCTGCAGGCCAGAAGAGGGCACCAGATCTCATTACAGATGGCTGTGAGCCACCATGTGGGTTGCTGGGATTTGAACTCAGGACCTCTGGAAGAGCAGTCAGTGCTCTTAACCTCTGAGCCATCTCTCCAGCCCCCTAGCCGGTTTTTTTCATGGCTCCGGGTTGTCCACAGCTTCATGTTCTTGAACATGTTAGACAGTCTCTTATGAGCCCCTATGGTTGTGTCAGTGGACCTTGGTTTCTTCTGAGTTCTGTATGAAAGAAAGGACCTTTTCCTTGCCTCTCTTGCTCTAGTCCTTAGGCTTGATGCTGGCTGGTCAGATAGTGCCCTCTTGTGGTGTCTCAGCACAACCAGAAAGCTCGGCCCCAGAAATTTGACTTAGATGATTTCCAGTTCTAGTACAAGATTAGTGTGGTTCATGTTTTTCTGATCTGATTTTAGCAGATTCTTTCAAGTTTTTAATAGCTGTGCTTTTTGTTTGGTGGTCAGCTGTTACAATTGTACTTTTACAGCCTCGGGTCTTTAAGACATTTGTCCTAAACTGAGAAGATGACTAGGATGGGAGTGTTAGAGCCAGAGACCATCTGCACCAGCACCACCAGCTATATCTCCTGTGTCTGTGTCTTTGTTTAGTTTACAAAATTGAAAGAAAAAAATTAGATGTTTGGGCTGGAGAGATGGCTCAGTAGTTAAGAGCGCTGCCTGCTCTTCCAAAGGTCCTGAGTTCAATTCCCAGCAACCACATGGTGCTTCACAACCATCTGTAATGAGGTCTGGTGCCCTCTTCTGGCCTGCAGGCATACACACAGAATATTATACACACAATAAATAAATAAATAAATAAATAATAAAAAAATAGATGTTTAAGTTTGTACTCTTGCTTTCAAAACAAAACTGAAAATAAATGATACAGAACAGTAGGGAATGCAGTGTTACCTTTATTGGCAGTTATTTTTTAAATGCCCTGTAAAAAAAACATTTTTCCCATTTCCTTCCTCTGCAGTTCTAGGTCTCGTTCCAGATCGTATTCTCCAGCTCATAACAGAGAAAGGAATCACCCCCGAGTGTATCAGAATCGAGATTTCAGAGGCCACAACAGAGGCTATCGGAGGCCCTATTATTTCCGTGGGCGAAACCGAGGCTTTTATCCGTGGGGCCAGTATAACCGAGGTGGCTATGGAAACTACCGGTCCAATTGGCAGAACTACCGGCAAGCATACAGTCCTCGTCGAGGCCGGTCCAGGTCCCGGTCCCCAAAGAGAAGGTCCCCTTCACCACGGTCCAGGAGCCATTCTAGGACCTCTGATAAATCATCCTCTGACAGGTCAAGGCGCTCCTCATCCTCCCGGTCATCCTCCAACCACAGCAGGGTTGAATCGTCTAAGCGCAAGTCTACAAAAGAGAAGAAGTCCTCTTCTAAGGATAGCAGGCCATCTCAGGCAGCCGGTGATAACCAGGGAGATGAGGCCAAGGAGCAGACATTTTCTGGAGGTGCATCTCAAGATATAAAAGGGTCTGAGAGCTCAAAGCCATGGCCAGATGCTACTACCTATAGCACTGGTTCTGCTCGGGCCTCGGCTTCTGATCTGAGCCCCCGGGAGAGAAGCCCAGCTCTCAAAAGCCCCCTCCAGTCTGTGGTGGTTAGGCGAAGGTCACCGCGCCCTAGCCCTGTGCCAAAACCTAGTCCTCCACTTTCTAATACATCCCAGATGGGCTCATCTATGTCAGGTGGTGCTGGATATCAGTCTGGAACACACCAAGGTCAGTTCGACCATAGCTCTGGATCTTTGAGTCCATCTAAAAAGAGCCCTGTGGGTAAGAGTCCTCCGGCCACTGGCTCTGCGTATGGTTCATCTCAGAAAGACGAGAGTGCTGCTTCGGGAGGAGCGGTATACACGAAAAGGCAAGTATCTCATTTTTCACATCCCCAAGTGGCTATCCCTACTTAGCTTAGTTGTAATAACACCCGAGTTAGACCTCTGAATAATGGTAGTATGGCAGTTCCTGTTTTCTAGGCTTTTCATTAGCCTACATTAGAGTTGCCCAGGGAAACTTTTAACTTAACTCTAGCTTTCTTGAATTTGTATTACAGCATAAGTTTCTTTAGCCTGTGGTAATGTTTTTACGTTTAAAAAATTGCCTTGAATTCTACCAGTCTGAGCCAGAAAACAGTAGAGGTTTGTGGGTTAGCTACCAAAAAACAGATCTTTGCCATCATGACTGGCCATTGGAACTGTAGACCTCCAGGATCCACTATCTGCCATGTTTGTGTGCATCGGTCCATCATGGTGAAGAGTGACACACCAAGGAGACTGGGCAAATAAGAATGTCCAAGGCGTGGTCTAGAAGAGCTTTTTTTTTTTTTTTAAAGCACAAGGTGGGTGGGCGTATGCCCTTGTAGAAGCGCCCAGGCTTCATATTAGGAGAGGGTGTGCTGCCCTATAAGAGGGTATGGTAAGTTTTATAAGAATTGTTCTTGCGTGAATAGGATAGAGTGGGATGTTACAGGAAAGATGCCAGGACCATGTTTCAGTCAAGAGAGAGAGCAAGAGATTCCTCCTTCCATTCTTTACTCTTATTAGCACATTCTCTGGTCCCTTGGTTCTTTGTCATGTTCATTAATGTAACTAGTTAGGTTTAACATTGCTCATAATTAGCATATGTTCAAATTCTGTACTTTGATGCAGTTTGAGTTTGCTTTGCAGTGTACGTTTTATTCCTTGCTAGGACTGAATGTAGATTGGAGTCTGGTTTCTGCTTTTCCATTAGAATAATAATTTTGCCACCTTCATACTCTTTCCCCTATTAACAAGTATTTTGTTTTTATGTGTTCACAGTATATTTCATTATGTAGATCTTCTAGGTGACTTGAAGCAAATTTGAAGTCTCTTTGAGACTTGTATTTCCAAATGTGAGTTGTATAAATCAAAACAGTCCAAGGTTGAACATTCTGTTAACTTTGCTGAAAGCAGATTTTAAATGAATGAGTAAAAGTTGGGGTGAGACTGTAGTTATTTTCCCCTTAGACCAACAGGTAAGTAAAAAATTTTTCAGTATCCTAAATAACTTGCTCTTACATTTTTTTTTGTTGTTTTTGTAAGGCACAGTTCCATTGATTCTTAAATGCCAAGTTTATAAATCCATGAAGGATTTTTTTTTCCAGAAATCATTAGACAAGTACCAAGTAGAAAGTGATAATACTGGAATCTACAGCTATGCTTGCTCAGAGACTTAAAACCAGATCAGGAACAGACCAGGTGCTGTGGTAGAACAGGATGCTCAGGAGGCCTCTCGTGTGTCTCCCTTGTGTTTTTATAACTAGGTACCTGGAAGACCAGAAAACAGAGAATGGGAAAGATAAGGAACAGAAACAAACAAATACTGATAAAGAGAAGCTGAAAGAGAAAGGGAGCTTCTCTGATGCTGATGTAAAAATGAAATCTGATCCATTTGCTTCCAAGACTGACACTGAGAAGCCCTTCCGAGGCAGCCAGTCACCCAAAAGGTATAAGCTTCGTGATGACTTTGAGAAAAAGATGGCTGACTTCCACAAGGAGGAGATGGATGAACAAGATAAGGACAAAAGTAAGGGGAGGAAGGAACCTGAGTTTGATGATGAGCCCAAATTTATGTCTAAAGTTATAGCCGGTGCAAGCAAAAACCAGGAGGAAGAGAAGTCAGGCAAGTGGGAGAGCCTGGTGCATACAGGGAAGGAAAAGCTGAGGAAGGCGGAGGAGCTGGAGGAGGAGCCTTTCACAGAGAGATCCAGAAAGGAGGAGCGTGGAGGGGCCAAGAGGAGCGAAAGTGGACACAGGGGCTTTGTGCCAGAAAAGAATTTCCGAGTGACTGCATACAAGGCGGTCCAGGAGAAAAATTCGTCACCTCCCCCACGGAAGACCTCTGAGAGCCGAGACAAGCTGGGAAACAAAGGAGACTTTTCCTCAGGGAAGTCTTCCTTTTCCATTACTCGGGAGGCCCAGGTCAATGTCCGGATGGACTCCTTTGATGAGGACCTTGCACGGTGAGGAGTGCTCCTTGTTGACCCTCAGGGCTCTAATGGCCAAAATGGTTTCATTACCCCTTCTTCCTGAGAACAGAAATGTTTCCTTGCTGCCACCTATCAGTGCGGATAGCCTCATGTCTGTCCCTGGAGTGGAAGAGTGTCACTGAGTGATAACAGCTCACAGATTGATTATGCCCCTTAGGCATTGCCGGGGTAAAGATTGTCTTCAGCCAGTATGGCTGATTTTTTGTTGTTATTGTTGTTGCTTTTTTAAATATTTATTTATTTATTATGTATACAATATTCTGTCTACATGTATGCCTGCAGGCCAGAAGAGGGCACCAGACCTCATTACAGATGGTTGTGAGCCACCATGTGGTTGCTGGGAATTGAACTCAGGACCTTTGGAAGAGCAGGCAATGCTCTCAACCGCTGAGCCATCTCTCCAGCCCGTTATTGTTGTTTTTTTGTTTCTGGGAACTCAAAACCACTATTTTGGTCTGTCTTTACCTCCAGCCCAGCTCCTACCTACACTGTTTCTTTTACCTGTCAAGATCCTTGAGAATCATGTCTCCATTTTACTTGGGTCACCAGACTCTTGATATTTTTCCAATTTCAAATTGATGGATCTAGCCTCTTCCCTCCCTCCCCTCACTTCAGGAAAGCATGATAGAGCCCAGACTGACTGCTTTTGACGTAGTATACCCAACCAGTTGGAGTTGTAACCACACACTCCTCTCTTACCACTTATGCTTAGAAAGTGGGGAGGGACACACATGCATGTGAAGGTCAGAGGGCTTCTTTCTGGAGTTTTCTCCTACAGTATTGGTCTGGGGGTCAAGTTCTGGCTTGGAGGCCATCGCCTGTACCCCCTGAGCCATCTCACCAGCCTCACTCTTTGCTTCTTGGTGTTGTCTTGTTGAACGACCTTCCCTAGCCAAGCTAGTTGACCTTTTACAATGCCTTTGTTAAAACAAGTAGCCATAGGAAATATAGTCACCAAGGTTTAACAGTTCCCCACTTGAAGATTCTCAGTGATGAATGAGATGTGAACCCATCTTTCCTCAGTTGTAATGTGTTACCCATCTTTCCTCAGTTGTAATGTGTTACCATTACTTGAACTTTGATAGAGAACAAGAGGGGCCTTGTGGATAGAAACTCTTTGGAACTGTCTCCAGAGAAAACGGGGGGGGGGGGGGGGCGTCAAGATGGTTCATCAGGTACAGGCGACATCACCAACCCTGGTGATGTGGAAAGAAAGAACTGACTCCTACATGTTGTATTCTGACTTTCACTTGGTGCGTGCCATACACGTTCATCCTCCCTTCCCTGGCCCAAAATAATAATACGAAACCATGGTTCCATGTTGGAAAACTCACATGCTTAGTATGCATAGGGCCCTGGCTTTTTTGTCCAGCATTCTACCTCTTCACCTCCAGCCCATAAAGCCTGGCCTATTCATTCAGTCCTAGTACACTCAGGAGTTTGAGACAGGAGGATGACAAGTTCACGGCCAGCCTTGCAATATATAGGGGGAAAACTGTCTTGAAAATTAGCGTATTTTTATAGTTAAAGAATTGTGACTTTCAGCCAGATGGTAGTGGCAGCACATGCCTTCAATCCCAGCCACCTGGGAAGCAGACAGACAAATCTTTGATTTCGAGGCCAGCCTGTCTATAGAGCGAATTTCAGGATAGCCGTGGCTACGCAGAGAAACCCTGTCTGAAAAAAACAAAAAAGAAACAAGAATTGTAACTTTCTATATCTCCTGTTACACTGATTCTCCTTGTATTTGTCTTTCAGACCCAGTGGCTTACTGGCTCAGGAAAGAAAGCTTTGTCGGGATTTAGTCCATAGCAATAAAAAGGAACAGGAATTTCGTTCCATCTTCCAGCACATACAGTCAGCTCAGTCTCAGCGTAGCCCCTCAGAATTGTTTGCTCAGCACATAGTGACAATTGTTCATCATGTTAAAGGTGAGTAGAAACAGTTTCCACACAGTAGTCTTTGTTTTTCGAGACCGGGTTTCTCTGTGGCTTTGCTCTGTCCTGGTCTATAGACCAGGCTTGCCTAGAACTCACAGAGCTCTGCCTGCCTCTGTCTCCCGAGTGCTGGGATAGAGAATGAGGAAGCCTCTAGGACGTTGAAAGCTAAAGGCTAGCTTAAAGAAATATCAGTGCTTAGCCGGGCGGTGGTACTTTAATCCCAGCACTCAGGAGGCAGAGGCAGGCCTGGTCTACAAGAGCTAGTTTCAGGACGGGCTCTAAAGCTACAGCAAAACCCTGTCTTGAAAACTCACAGAGAGAAGTTTCCATGTTTTAGAGATGAATTTCTGAAATGCTAGCATCTATAATCTTGATAATAAACAAAACCCTCAACATGAAGTATGGGGAGTGGCTTTTTAAGGATTTGTATGTGTCTGAGATAGGAGGTTCCCAAAGAGGTCAGATCCCTTGGAACTAGAGATAGATTTGGTTGTGAACCTTCTGACAAAGGTGCTGGAAAGCAAACTTGTTTTTTTTTTTTTTTTTAATTTATTTTTTTAAAGATTTCTGTCTCTTCCCTGCCACCGCCTCCCATTTCCCTCCCCCTCCCCCAATCAAGTCCCCCTCCCTCGTAAGCCCAAAGAGCAGTCAGGGTTCTCTGCCCTGTGGGAAGTCCAAGGACCTCCCACCTCCATCCAGGCCTAGTAAGGTGAGCATCCAAACTGCCTAGGCTCCCACAAAGCCAGTATGTGCAGTAGGATCAAAAACCCATTGCCATTGTTCTTGAGTTCTCAGTAGTCCTCATTGTTCACTATATTCAGCTAGTCCGGTTTTATCCCAGGCTTTTTCAGACCCAGGCCAGCTGGTCTTGGTGAGTTCCCAATAGAACATTCCCATTGTCTCAGTGTGTGGGTGCACCCCTTGCGGTCCTGAGTTCCTTGGAAAGCAAACTTGTGTCCTGGGAAAATAGCAACCTTTTTTCATCTCTGAGCCATCTCTCCAGCCTCTGAGAAATGGCTTTTCCGTTACCTCTTTTCCTTTGTAGCAGTATCTTGTATACGTTTTGATGTGAATTTCTTTCCCAAATTGTCTGTCATCCCCTGGGCAAATGAATAGTGGTGCACAGGTTGAGTAGTGGGCAAAAGCAATGATGCAGAAAGCTGAATTGGGTCTGTTACAGGCTCCATCTAGAGTTAAAGTCAGTAATAATTGGTCCTGTGCCCCAAAGGGAGGTTAGAGCCAGGTTCTTTGACCTTGTATCACGTCCCTGAGATAAGGGAGCTTACTAGAAACCCAGCATTAGATGTCTCTGAACTAGCCACTTTTCCTTCTCTTTTTTAGTATGTATGTTATATGGATTTGAATATTAAATTGTATCTCTGGCTACAGGTCCACTGAACATTGTGTCTGCCCTAGATAACATATTCACGTATTTCTTTGAATCTTAACAGAACATCACTTTGGATCCTCTGGAATGACATTACATGAACGCTTTACTAAATACCTAAAGAGAGGAAGTGAACAAGAAGCAGCTAAAAATAAGAAAAGCCCCGAGATACACAGGTGAGGTTCTCAGCCTACTCTGAGGGTTGTAATAAAAGACTTTTGTCATTTGGGGGCTGGAGAGATGAATGGCTCAGCGTTTAAGCACACTGACTGCTCTTCCAAAAGACTCAGGTTCAATATCTAACACCTACGTGGATGCTCACAACTGTCTGTAACTCCAGTTCCAGGGAGGGGATCTGATGCCAATATACAGACATACATGCAGGCAAAGCACCAGTGCATATGAAATAAAAAAAAAAACTTGTCATTTGATATTAAACTGACCTTTTTGCATTCTCCCACTAATGTACTTTTGATCCAAAATTTAGGGTAAAGTAATATTATCTAGGGCTTTTGGAGATCTGAGGACTTTGTATTTGAGAATGGAAAGGATGTTTTGCAGGCTGCAGTTTCTCACATTGGGCCCAAAGAACCTGAGGTTTCTGTAGTAAGAACAAATACTGACTTCTCTAAACAACATTATCTCTTTCATTTAGGAGAATTTGCTGGGGAAGAGGGTTGAGGAAAAGCTTGAAATTTACTTATCTCAACAGTTTAAATGAGGTCCAGCAGATTTAAAAGAATTATCCCTTGTAATTCAGGAAATCTGTTTGGAACGTGGAGAGCTTGTCTGGAATCAGCTTGGTACCAAGGAATATCAAGGAATCTGCCTTGCTAACTAGTAAAAAGCACCGTCAGGAAGTGTGTGTCTTAATACCAGGACTGAGAAGCAGAGGCAGGCAGATCTCTTGAGTTTCAGAAAAGCCAGGTCAGAAAAGTTCCAGGACAGCTAGGACTACTACATAGTAAAGGGAAAGAATAGAGTGCTTTTCTAGTATATGCAGAGCACTTGAGTCCATTTCCTAGTAGTGTCCGCCCCAAAATAAAATAAAGGAACTTGGGCTGGCAAGCTGTCTCAGTGGGTATTGTTGTAGATCCCAGGTTCCATATTGTGGAAGGAGTGAACTGACTGTGTAAGCTGTAGTATGTGCTTTAAACAAACATATATACACAAATGAATATAATACCTATTTTTCAGTTATTTACTTTGGGTGGAAGGAATGTTTCTATTACAGGTATAAATAATATAGTGTATGCTAGGCATGCACGTGTAATCTTAACATGAAAAGGGGGGAGAAATAGAACTAGTAGCAGATAAACTATAAAAAGTAATTATGTCTATGACTCCATTACCCACCTTAGGGTCTGGAATGTTAACCGATATTGTTCAGCAGAATAGTATACTATTTCTGTGTTTTTTAATTTTAGGAGGATAGACATTTCCCCCAGTACATTCAGAAAACATGGTTTGACTCATGAGGAAATGAAAAGTCCCCGGGAACCTGGCTATAAGGTGAACTGTTGCTTTGATCAGTAGTTCCAACATAATGAGTGCGTTGGGCATGAACTTGACAGAAATGTGTTTGTTTAAATTACTCTCTACTTAAGTTTGTGTTTTTCTTTTAAGGATGGGCATAATTCTAAAAATGAACTACAAAGGGTTAATTTTTATTAAAATGTATCAACAACCTTTGTGAAGTGGTTAGAATATGGTAAATGACCCCAGAGTCTATTGAGGTGAGCTTGAGAAAAAAAAGAGAGGCGTTTTGGAACAAGTGCCCATGATGAGAGAAGAAACTTTTTGTGATATTTTTCTGCTTGTAAGTATTATCAAATCAACTGTCTACATGCACTATTTCCAACCATGATTTCAGAAAGACATGCATGTCAGAGCAGAGTGAAATATTCATATCTTAACTCAGTAGACTGTGTTCAGCAGCTGGTGCGCTTTTTTGTTTTTTTCCTAACATTGTACCATATCATCTGTCAATTACTGTTACTTTAAAATGGCCTGGCTACATTTGCAATGATATGCACATAACATTGTTACTAAGAGATTAGACTCCTGTGCAGTCTTTACTATGAAATAAGTAGATGGAGTTTTTAATATTTTAATATTTATTCACCATCATTCATATATACAGTTTAAATTTAAAATAAGATGGCTGTTCTATGCTACTGAAACCTTTTTTAAAATACTGTTTTAAAATTTTCTAGACAAATTTGTCTTTTTGGTTGAAAGTGTTGAGAGATACTCCTGTGCAATCTCTCATTTTCCACCCATTTCCGTCTCCACATGCCCTCAGCCTGGCCTTAGTGAAGCAGCAGAAGTCTATGCTCCATGCCTCCAGCAGTCAGCTCCCCAGTGATGGAGTGGTGGCTGCCTTTGTCCTTTGTTGTCATTTGTTTGTTTATTTATTGGCTTTTTTGAGTCTACGGAGGTCTTAGACTCTCAGAAACAAATTGATAAAATAATAAACCTTCTTCCTATTATTCTTGTTATTTAAATGAAATATTGTATCCGAAAGTTTATGGTTCATATATATATAAGGTGTTAATAAAGTGTGGACAGCTTTCTGTTAGCAAGGACCTACTTCTATTAGGCAAATCCCAGTGCATGATGTCCCTGAAGCCACATAGACATTTATCCTCAAGAAGTTTTTGGAAGTTATTGAAGGCCATTGTAGATGTGATCTGGGCAGTGTTGCTTTTGTCTTTACTTATTCTTATACATGAAGGTGATTCCACACGGTTAGTGGGTGGCTTCTTTAGATAGGGAGAAGTGAGCATTTCCTATAAGCCTAATAAAAACATTTTCCAGAGCTGATTTTGGCCATCTAAGCATATACACTTACTCAGCATATACACTTAGAGGCATTACTGGGACACAGGAAACAAAGATTCACATATACCGTTTTCAAGAGATAGCACCTTGATTGTTTAAAAAAAAAAAAAAAAAACTTTCTGGGGTGAGGCTTTTAGATTCCCAGTGTCTTCATTAGCAAAAAACACATTTGAGAGTGAGTGAGTTAGCAGTTCTGGATCCCAAAAACCTTAATTTTAACATCTTTTTCAGCAGGCTGAAGGCAAATACAAAGATGATCCTGTTGATCTTCGCCTTGATATTGAGCGTCGTAAAAAACATAAGGAGAGAGATCTTAAGCGAGGTAAATCAAGAGAGTCGGTGGATTCCCGAGACTCTAGCCACTCAAGAGAAAGATCAGCTGAGAAAACAGAGAAAACTCACAAAGGATCAAAGAAGCAGAAGTACGTGATGCCCCTGCCTGTCACCCTAGATTCTGGAGTAAAGTCTCAGTTATTCACTATTTTTTATTGGTGGTGGTTGTTTTTCACCTTTCACTACAGAGTCTAAACATGGAACCCTTGCTAGCTAGCCCAGAACTTACTATGTAGACCAAGTTGCTCAATCCCTGCCCCTCCAGTGCTGGGACTACATGAGCGCACACAACACTTGTTCATTTGGGCTTGTGAGTACGCCAGGCCTTCTCATCAAGAGAACTTCATGGTTAGGAACTAAAACATCTGTAGCATTGTCTTCCCTAGCTTGAAAATAGAACTTCCTTATCTAAGTAAAGTTATCTTTGTCCAGAAATGAATGTTGCAACGATTGTGGAGATTGATTAGCAGTTTGTGTGACAGGTCTTCTGGGCATGTTCTTTCTCATTGAGTATTTTCTTAGTGTGCTTATAGTTTAGAATATCATTGATAGAATAAAATACTATAATATCTAATACATTCAATTAATAGTACTGTTTTAAAACCAGGTGAGGCGAGATAGGACAGGATTGTTGTTTCATAGACAGTTCAAAGAAGTGTTCCAAATATTTCTTTTAAAAAGCAGACTTATTTTTCATTGTTATGTAGGGCAACATAACATGCCAATGCCATGATGTTTCTGCTTTTTCTAGTGGTGCTAGAGAGTAAACCTTGGGCCTTGCATATGCTCTGCAAGTACATTTCAGCTGAGCTACAACTAGCCTTGGTGCATTGTTGAAGGTTCTATGGTTTCAGTCACCTTTCCTTAAATGGAGCAGAGTTGCAGCTTTAACCTTCTCAAAAAGCAATATTTCTGCTATTCTAGACTTGAGCTGGCTGGCAGGCAGTCTTTGTCTCAGGCTGGCTTTGCCCACTGTGTAGCAACTAAGGATGACCTTGAATTCCTTCCTGATTTTTTTTTTTTTTTTTTTTTTTGGGTCTCCCCCACATGGCCACTGGTGGAAAGTGGAGTGAGTCTCCATAAGTATCTCAGTATTGAGTGTAGAAAAGTAATTGATACTTATTTCTGAAACATGCCCAGCTCTGAGTTGCACTGTGACTTTCAACAATTTACTTAGAGAAGGTTTCCAGCCCTACCAGAAGTAACAAAAGAGGCTACTAAGTGACCCTGAGGTGTCAGGAGGACTCCTGGGAATACCTCAAGGTATTCCTTGGTTCTTCATTTATAAAAAGCACCTTGGGGCTGCAGAGTTGGATGTTACTAAGAACACTTGTTCAATTCTCAGCACCCACTTGGCAGCCCAAACTATCTGTAACCCATCTGTGGAGATGGTGCCATCTTCTGGCCTCCTTGGGCACTGCATGCTTGAGTGACTGAGTTAAGCGAAAATCTTTGAACACTGTTCTTATTACTGTCTTTTTACAACTCATAAAAACCTCTGTTTTGTTTTAGCATTTTTGCTGTTTTGGTTTTAGTTTTTGCAAGCAGGGTTTCTCTGGGTAACCTTAGCCATTCTGGTACTCACCTGGTAGACCAGGCTGACCTTGAACTCAGAAATCTGCCTGCCTCTCTGCCTCCCAGGCACTGGCAAATTGGAAGCTTTTTTTCTTTTCTTCCAAGACAGCGTTTCATTGTGTAACTTTGGTGCCTGTCCTGAAGCTCGCTTTATAGACCAGGCTGTCCTCGAACTCAGGGACCCACCTGCCTCTGCCTCCCAAGTGCTGGCATTAAAAGCATGCGCTACCATCGCTTGACCAAATTGGAAGCTCTTGAGAATCTTATTTCTGAAAACTTCTTACCATAACACCAAGTATCAGAGTGGTTAGGTTTCTGCGTTCTGGTTTTGAGTACAGCAGTGTGGATCTCTTGTTTTCATGGGAAGAGAAGATACTAAAACAAGTGGGGGCTGGGCAGAGTACTTTTTTTTTTCTTTTCTTTTTTTAATGTGCATGAGTGTTTTTCTCCTAAATCTGTGTACCATGTGTACACCTGGTGCCCAAGGAGGCCAGAAGAGGGCGTTGACTCCCCAGGACCAGAGTTACAGGTGGTTGGTTATGCGCTATCATGAGGTTGCTGAGAGCCAAACAAGTGCTCTTAAAAGCTGAAACAGTTCTCCAGCCCCAGAATGCTTCTTATAAATGAAGCACCAAGGAATGCCTGGAGGTCTCTATTCCTGGGAGTTTGGTCCTCTGACATCTCAGGGTCATTAGTAACCTCCTGTTACCTCTAGTAGGGCTGGCACCAGCCTGTAGTGTGTAGACAGTGAGTCATCATATTAGTCTAATTTTTCTAGTCTGTAATTTACCCAGATGAAGGGAAAGGAAGAGATACAACTCCAGGAGAAGTTGCTGCAGATTCTAGACTTAAGAGCACAACCTGTTTGAGCTCAGTAGGAGGTGGTTGTATAGAGTTAATGGGCTAATTAGAGCCAGGTTTGTTTCCAAGCTCTGCTCAGCTCTGTCACCTATGAACTGAGTAATGTGGACTTCTCTGGTCACTTTGTCAGTAAGGTGTTCTGACATTTCATTTCATCTTAAAGTGTCTCCCACCCCCTTGTGCCCACCACAAAACCGCATTTGAGTGCTAGGAATAACAGCGCACTAATAAGGGTTTGCTGCAGTGTCAGAGTCAGCCACTCACACGGACCTTCTTGCCTTCTCTGTTGGTTCATCTGGCAGGCTGATAATGGAGAGCATGATTATTTTATGTTCTTTATGTTTAATAACATATTCACCACATGCTTAGAAATAGGTATGTCACTGAAAATGACTCACAGAACCACGTCTGCTGGGTGGGTTGGGGTGAACAAAACCCGCTTGCTTGGTAGTTAATCTCTGACGCTGCCAGAACCAGTCTTGATTTCCTTCTTCTTCTTCATGTAGGAAGCACCGCAGAGCAAGAGACCGGTCTAGGTCCTCCTCTTCTTCTTCCCAGTCGTCTCACTCCTACAAAGCAGAGGAGTACCCCGAGGAAGCAGAGGAAAGGGAGGAGAGCACCACAGGTTTTGACAAATCCAGACTGGGGACCAAAGACTTCGTGGGTCCAAATGAAAGAGGCGGCAGAGCACGGGGAACCTTTGTAAGGGCCTCCCTTTTTCTCTAAGCCTCCAGCTCTTTCTAGTCCCAACTGAATGTCAATAGGACACCATTTCTTCTGCCTCTGGTCTAAGCAAGCCAGCTGTAGACTCAAGATTCTTTGGTTCCCAAAGCTTCTATGTTCACTTGTTTCTTTGTTTATAATCACTTCCAAAGCCTCTTACAGCTTCTCATCCCAGAATTTACCCCATTTCCTTGGATCTTGCTTGAAGGCGGCCCTCTGGCCATGTGTATGTACCCTTGGACTGTCTGCTTGGGAGGAACGAGGATAGAAATGAGTAGAAGCTAGTTTAACTGCATGTGACAGGAGGGCAGCTGTCCATTCCTTGTCAGAATGTAAGGGATTTTTTTTTTGTTTGTTTGTTTTTTGGTTTTTCGAGACAGGGTTTCTCTGTGGTTTTGGAGCCTGTCCTGGAACTAGCTCTTGTAGACCAGGCTGGTCTCGAACTCACAGAGATCCGCCTGCCTCTGCCTCCCGAGTGCTGGGATTAAAGGCGTGCACCACCACCACCGCCCAGAATGTGTAAGGGATTTTCTATTGCTGACATGGACCTTTGTTTCTTTTGCTTCCTTTATTTCTATAGCAATTTCGAGCAAGAGGGAGAGGTTGGGGCAGAGGAAACTATTCCGGTAACAATAACAACAACAGCAACAATGATTTTCCAAAGAGAAACCGGGAAGAGGAATGGGATCCAGAGTACACACCCAAAAGCAAGAAGTATTACTTGGTAAGTGTCTGGGACTAACGAGGAAAGGGCCAGAGAGCCTTTGGCACACAGTAACTGATTTGAAGGCTTTTAATTGGTCTATCTGACCTTGTTAAATTTGTATACAGGCATAGAGACTGTGAATGTGTTGGTATTGTGCTAGCTAGATGGCTCTTCTCTAGAGGGTTAAGTCAGTTTTGGCTCCAGTGTGGTTTATCCTCTGAACTGTTTATGAATTCCAAAATAAGCAAGAAATGTCACTGTTGCCTTTCTTGTCCTGTGGACTTTGACTCCTCTCCCGCTCCCAGCCTCTGTCACCCTTTACTACTAGATTGACAGGAAAAACAGCTCTAGAGCTGTCTGAGGAACAAAAAGGTTGTTACCATAATGAAACAGCACTGAGGTTTTCCTCTTACCTGTGTTGTTGTGGGTCATTCCCATGCTCCTCGGACTGTTACATAGTCGCTAACTCCTGCCCTTGTGATTCACTGGGCCTGTATCCAAGCCTGTAATTCCTGGGCTTTGGCCTAGTTGTTGGGAGCCAGTTTGAAGCTTCTAGAAGACCTGAATAGGTGTAGAATTGCTGTGAAAGGAAAAGCCCTTTCCTGCTTCTGTTTGCCACCTGAGGGAACATTGCCAGTTCTGATCTGGTCATTGTGGCACTGCAACCTTGGACAGAGGCAGCTGACAGTCAGCTGAACTGACCTTCAGGAGCCTAAGAATGGCTTCTGTGAGTGGATGGCGTAACCTGTGAAGTGATGAGAGTCTAACATGAAACAGAAGTTGCTACTACAGTTTTCAGAATTCTTCACTCATTCCACCTTTGGTTCTGTCTCTGCTGTGGAGAGTGTCAGAACAAGGGTAGTTTTCCTGCTGTGACAGACAGACACTGCTCCTTACTATTGAAGATGGAGTGCTGCAAGAGGGCACCTGGGCTTGGGGGCTTGGAAAGGACTGGAGCCCCAGGCCAGTTCCATTCCACATGTTAGAATGATTGATTTTTCTAGATGCCTCCTTTGAGAAATGGTGGTGTACAGCTGCAGAGATGCTTCTATGGGTGCAGCAGTTAAGAGCACTGGCTGCTCTCAGTTCCCAACACCCACAGGCAGCTCACAACTGTCTGTAACTCCAGTTCCAGGGAATTATTTTTAAAAAGAGAGAAATGGTGTTCTAAATAATAACAGCTTGGTTTACGTGATAGTCATAAGTGTCAGGATAGACAGACGGGGTAAGTGAGCTAGTGCCGTCTTCCTGCTTTCCTACGACTCTAACACTTGTAGTGTCCACACTGTTGCCTTAGAGTTCCCAGCTAGCCAGAGGTGCTCTTGGGTCTGAGCCTGTGGCAGTATTGGAGAATAGGCAAAGGGCAGAAAGGTCGCAGGGGCACAGGCTTTCTGGCCTGTGTGATGGGGACAGAGAAGAGAACACTAGCCCTGATGCCAGTTTTCTTTGCTCGCAGCATGATGACCGGGAAGGTGAAGGCAGTGACAAGTGGATGAGCCGTGGCCGTGGCCGAGGAGCCTTCCCCCCTTGGGTCGGGGCCGGTTCATGTTCCTGAAATCCCGTACCAGCCCCAAGTGGGCCCACGATAAGTTCAGTGGCGAGGAAGGAGAGATTGAAGACGATGAGAATGGGACTGAGACCCAAGAAGACAAGGATGGTCTTCAGCCCACAGCTGAGTAGGGTCGGTCTTGATCGAGCCCTGGCCCAGGGAGAGAGGCACTGGGAGAGGCTGGTGGAGCTAAACAGGGAGCCTCAAGAAGATCCTGCAAATCCCACCCCACAAAGCACCAGCCACACAGAACCTACAACAGCAGAGTACACATCGTGGTGCTGTCCCACTGGATAGAGGACACTGGCCCCAGAGCCTAGGATCAGGCCCATGTTTTGAGCAGCCCACAACACAGTGGAATCCGCTATTTCTTGTTTGTTGTTGGTGTGTGGAGTGGGGAAAGGGTAGGGAGAATGATGCTGATGCTTGGGTTTTTTGTTTGTTTGGTTTTGTTTTCCTTTCCCTATTAGAAACCCAAGTTTCCTTAATTTCGTTTGGAACTAAGAGGATGAACTTGGTTTTCAGTCTTTTCCTGTCCTGATTTTTAAAAGGCCCTTATATTTCTCTTTTTGTTTTTTTTTTTTCTTTTCTTTTTACAGGATATGTAGTATATTAGCAGAAAGATTTACTTTGGGCAACTTTGATTCTTAAAGCATGTGAATAAACATTGACGTGTTCGCCTCAGTTTGGGACCAAACTGCTTGGATCTTTGTAAAAACCGGTTTTGTATGTCATGGAGGAGTTTAAGGCCTTTCTGACCACCTTGTGTTCCCCTTTCTGCACAGCCATGTGTCACGTGGAGTTGCTCCCAGCCTCCCCATGCATCCTGCTCTTGTCTAATTTCTCCTGGGCTGGGCTTCCCATTTTCCACCAGCAGCTCCAGTATCCTAAACTTTGTAGTCCTGCTGGTCCTCAGCAAAAGGAGTGGAAACTGGAGGGCAGTTTCTGGGCTGTTTTCTAAGAAACTTCTGAATTCTATTATCTTTACAAATATAAGATAATTTTTTCAATATTTTTTATTGATCTTTTTATAAAATGAAAAGAAACTCCTATGATCGATTAAGGATGGTGGTTATGGCTGGGTGGTTTGCGGGGTTTGTGTGTTTTGGTTTTATTCTTTTTTTTCTTTTTAACCTTAAGTTTTGGGTTGAAACATTTTCCAATGTTGGGGGGATATCCTCATAAAAGGGTCCTTGTGCTTGCCTTTCGGGGAGGCGGTCCCGAGCAGGTGAACCACAGCAGTGCATATGTTCTATGCCGACTGCACCCTCCTCTTACACCAGCCTTTGCTCTTGGGTTATTGCTACTTCCCCTTACTTTGCTAATTTCTATAGTTAAGTTGGTTTTACTTGAATGATTCATGTTTAGGGGAGAAAGAAAAACACCCGTAAGTTTTTGTTTCAACTCCTCCTGCAAATAAAAACAATAAACGAAGTGACAGATGCAAATGGACTGTGTTCCTTGTCCTCACACCTGCTCCAGCCACCCTGGGGGTACCGCCCACAGAGGTTTCCATCCCCTAATATACTTTTTCTCTACAAAGAAGCACCTGTTCTCAGGAAAGTCCCTTCATTCTCTGCTTTTAATATCCAAGAACCAAACTTCACTACTGTGCAACAAGCAAAGACTTTGACTTCGTGGTGTGGCAGGGGTCGAGGCTGCCATAAACTGGCTCAGCTTTTGTGTATATTCACCCAGTCGGAAGATTATTTACAGATAGCCCAACTAGTACCCCATTGGTGGGTGGGCCCTAACCTTCAGACTCTTATCAGCCCTGGGTTTAATTAGACTTCTGTGATGTCGAAAGCCCAGGCCCTCACAATGAAAGCTCCACAAGTGGGGTTTTGAAATTTGGAATACACCAGCCATAGTCTTTCAGAGACAGGAGCCACCACTTTCTCCGGAATGGCCCCGCCCTGGTATGTACCTTTCTCCACCTTCCCCTGCAGCTAACAACTTGCCAGCCTGTAGAGGGTGGGCCAGGAAATTATAAACAAAAAAATGTTAAGTCTGGCCTAGGTTGGGAGACTGCCAAAGTAGAATTTAGCAGTCGTGGATGAGAGCTTGGAGGAGCTGTTACCCTAGAACTGGGCTGAGAGACCCTGAATGACGACCTGGAACTGGGGCCCAACCTGCTGAGCCAGGCCGCCCACTCCTAGCACCTGGATCCCGACCTATGACTTGAGACTCCGCCTCATTCAATGTACAGCCCAGCAGCCCGGCCCGCCCTCTGCGCTCCCTAGACTCAACCGCCAGCCTGACCGCAAGGCTGTGCAGGGGTCCCCAGAAATCATGGGTATGTGTGCGGGTCTCGGGTAGTTCTGAATGTCCAGGGACGTTCCCCGGCCTTTCTTAGCCTGCCCTCCGCCCGCAGAGGTCCTGGTCCTGGCCAGATACCGTGCGCAGACGGAGGACGAGCTGAGCCTGGCGCCAGGGGATGTGGTCCGGCAGGTTCGCGCAGGGACCGCCCGGGGCTGGCTGCAGGGGACACTGCAGGGCCGCCACGGTCTCTTTCCCAAGAGACTGGTGCAGGTAAGGCCTGGTGCGGGTGAGGCAGTGCGGGGAGCGGGCCCGGTCCCGCTCCGGGCCTTGCGCTGAGTGCCGCCTCCGTGCGATCTTCCCAGGAGATTCCCGAGGCTCTGCGGGGCGTCACTGAGCCCACACCGCGCTATGCGCGCCTCCGCCGCGGTGAGTCTAGCGCTGGGCTGGCGCGTGGGGGCTCGCTGCCCGCGTGGAGCATAACGACTGCGGGAGGGGCCGCGAGGCTACTGTGCAGCCCCCTGATTGGCTCCAAGTACAATGCTCCGCTAGAGGGCGGGGCTTAAAGCTACCAGAGGCCGTGCTCGGGGGTCCGCCCCTTCCCCAGTGCTGTGGACAGGGCTTCTTGCTCGAACTCCGCCCCCTGCTTGTCTGGCCTAGGTCACCCCGTCAACTCTCAGGGTCCCCAAAGATGGTGCAAAGTGAACTTCAACTACAGCCCAGAGCAGGCAGACGAACTGAAGCTTCAAACTGGGGAGATTGTGGAAGTAATAAAGGAGGTGAGGGGGTACAATTAGAGATGCTGGAGCTCTTCACGAACACAGAAGAGAGTGAAGGGAGGGTGGGGGCGATGGAAAGGGAGGCAGCAGGGGAGGAGGCTGTCCTTGGGCAGAACCAAGGGTCGACACTCCAGTGACTCTTGGACAGACCCAGATGCTCCCACATCCTTCCCCTTCCCCAGATTGAGGACGGCTGGTGGCTGGGGAAGAAGAACGGGCAGTTGGGAGCCTTCCCATCCAACTTTGTGGAATTGCTGGACGGTGGGCCCCCAAGTGAGACCATGACCCTGTGATTCCCTGGGACCAGACTCTGCAGTCTTCAGTGATTCTTCCCAATGACCTTCCTGACCCTGTTGACCCATTAGCCCTCTCTCAGAACCTAACTAAATTAGAACCTCCCTAACCTCATTGTCCCTCTCCAGGCCTGGGAAGCGTAGACATGCCTTCAGTCGTCCCTAATCCACCAAAGCCTCCTAAGGTAAATTGGGTCAGGGTAGGCACAGTCAATGAGTTTCCCCCCCCCCACCCCCCCGAGACGGGGTTCTCTTTGTAGCCCTGGCTATCCTGGAACTCACTCTGCTTTGTAGACCAGGCTGATCTTGAACTCACACAGATCCGCCTGCCTCTGCCCAGTGAGTTCTTAAAATGGCTTCAGGCTCATCTTCCTCTTCCTTTGTTCTGCCCCTTCTAGCTGAGCAACCTGACCTACGACAGCCCTCCAGACTACCTGCGGACAAGTGAGCACCTAGCCAAAGAATCCCTCCCACGGTGCCAGGACACACCCTGCCTTGTGGGAGGGGAACCAGGTAGGTTGTGGTGGGAGCCACTGGGGGAGGCTACACAATAGAATGCCTTCTCTCAGTCTCCTACCCAGAGACCTGCAGGGTCCTGTTTGACTACCAGCCTGAGGCCCCGGATGAGTTGGCACTGCACAAGGGGGACCTGGTGAAAGTTCTGAGAAAGGTGTGAGAGGAATAGGAGGCACAGAAGGGTAAGGAGTGGGACCCAGGCAGGAGGGACCTGAGGGAGGCTCACCTCCCTGCTGACTTTTCTCAACCAGACTACAGAGGATAAGGGCTGGTGGGAAGGCGAGTGTCAAGGCAGAAGAGGACTGTTTCCAGACAACTTTGTGCTTCCTCCACCCCCTGTGAGTATTGAACCAGACACTGGGAGGGCAGAGGAAAGACTTCTTTTAAAAAAAAAAATCGGGAAACGGTATGGTGGCACACACGTTGGTCCCAGCATTGGGGAGGCAGAGACAAGCAGATCCCTGAGTATGAAGCCAGCCTGGTCTACAAAGCAGGACAGCCAGGGCCACCCAGAGAAACCTTGTCTCAAAAAAAAAAAAAAAAAAAAAAAAAAAAAAAAAAAAAACAGGAAAAAAAAGTCAGAAATCATGGCATTTGCTGGATCACTAGATAAAGGGACATAGAACTCTCTGAAAACATGTCGGGAAAAGCTGAGGAGACATCGCTCAGGGCTCAAGTGTTTTTGTTCAGATCCCCAGAACCCATAGAAATGACAAATGAGCATGGCAGCACCCATGTGTTTCTAGCCTCAGGAACGTAGAGAGGCAGAAGAAACCATAATGGTGAGCTCTGCTTTTGATTGGGAGACTACCTTAAAGAATTAGGCAGAAAGCCAAGTGTGATGGCACATGCCCTTAATCCAGCATTCGGGAGACAGAGACGGGCATATCTCTTGAGTTCGAGGCCAGCCTGGTCTAAAGAATGAGTTCCAGGTCAGCCAGTTTTACAAGAGGGGGAATCAAGAAAGATTCCCAGCTGGGCAGTAGTGGCACATGCCCTTAATCCCAGCACTCGGGAGGCAGAGGCAGGCGGATCCCTGAGTTTGAGGCCAGCCTGGTCTATAGAGTGAGTTCCATGACAGGCTCCAAAGTTACAGAGAAACCCTGTCTCGAAAAACCAAAAGAAAACAGATTCCCTATGTCAACCTCTTGCCTACACGATAGTACATGCATTTTGCACATGCACGCACGCACGCATGCACACACACAAAGAATAGAGCAACAGGCATGGAACTCCTTGAACACAGCTAGAGGGCCACCCCTAAATGAGACTGGATGTAAAAGTTTTGAAACCTGTCCTTGAATTCTCATATTTCTTTTTCGGCTAGATCAGGAAGCTGGTCCCACGGAAAATTATATCTCGGGATTCACGTGAGTGCCTGGGGAGTGTGGGGTTGAGGGGTTGATCTATGAAAGACCCATCAGTTTCTCTCTTTTTTTAATTAATTTATTTATTATGTATGCTGTTCCATCTGCATGTATCCCTGCACGCCAGAAGAGGGCGCCAGATCTCATTACAGGTGGCTGTGAGCCACCATGTGGGTGCTGGGAATTGAACTCAGAACCTTTGGAAGAGCAGCCAGTGCTCCTAACCTCAGAGCCATCTCTCCAGTCCTGACCCACCAGTTTTCAGTTGTTCCTAAACACTCGTAGTTCCCCACTAGTCCAGTATATCATAGGAACATCCTGCCCTGGCAGAGAGGGAGGGAGGGGTCAAGGCCCCTGTCAGAGCTGTGTGGTTCCTATGTGAGTCCAATTGTATGTGTTCATATGCTAATGCTTCTGTGTGGTTCTTGGCATCGACTGTCACATAGCCCTGCTGGAGTGTCTATTGGTCCGGGAGGTAGTCAGGATTAAATCCCGAGCCTTGCACAAATGAGACCAGTGCCTTCCATTAAGCTATATCGTGGTGCCAGCTCTACGCTTCAAAGTCCAGAGATAAATCTGGGGTGGAGAGATGGCTCTGGGAGTAAACTGCTCAGTTGCTAGATAGTTTAAAGGCAGAGAGACGGAAGAGAGACTTGGTCTGATCTTAAGCAGAATAATAATGTTTATTCACGGCAACTGGGCATGTTTGTCACCTTGTGTGCAGATGGCCAAAATGCCTACCGAAGATGAGATGTGGCCCCTCATAGAGTCATGGAATGACTTTGGCCACCTTCACGGGAAGGTGGGAATTGTAGTCTTTTCAGCAGAAAACTATCATTCCTAACTCTGAGAGGATATTTTAACAAATGTTGGCTGGGCAGTGGTGGCGCAAATCTTTAATCCCAGCACTCAGGAAGCAGAAGCAGTCAGATCTCGATGAGTTTGAGACCACCCTGGTCTACAGAGCGAGTTCCAGGACAGCCACAGTTATGCAGAGAAACCCTGTATGGGGGGCAGGGGACTTAGTTATTTTTATGTGTATGGGTGTTTTGCCTGCATGCATGTCTGTGCAACACATTTGTGCCTGGTGTCCGTGTAGGCCAGAAGAGGGTGTCGGATCCTCTGAACAGATGGTTGTGAGCCTCCATGTAGACGCTGGGTGTTGAACTGCAGCCCTCTGAAATGGCAGCCAGTGCTCTTGACCACTTAGCCATCCCTCAGCCTCACCACACCCTTATTTGGTGCTGGAGACCCAGGGCATGGCGCATGCTAGGCAAATGCTCTGACACCGTACTACATCCCCAGTCCTCAGATCTCTGAGACAGGGTCCTCACCACTTAGTCCAGGCTAGCCTTGAACTCATGGTCCTCCCGCCTCCTACCAGCAAGTGTATGACGATCTCAGGGTCTCCATACTCAAACTGATGCTTGTTAATATCTTCATTAGAGCCCTGCTAGTGGACAGCAAGTGTCTAGTGGTTTGGATTTGCACTCCTCTGGGGGCTTTATGGTGCCTAGGAGCTTTTGTTCTTTTGGGTTTTTTTTTGAGATAGTTTCTCTATGTGGTCCTGGTTGTCCTGGAACTAGCTCTGTAGGCCAGGCCAGGCTGGCCTCGAACTCAGAGATCCACCTGCATCTGCCTCGTCAGTGCTGGGATTAAAAGCATGCACCACCAATACCCGGCTCACCTAGAAGCTTTTGTTCCTTTGTTTCTTCGAGACAGGGTTTCTCTGTGTGGCCCCTGTGGTTGTCCTGGAACTAGCTCTGTAGGTCAGCTGGCCCCCTGAACTCATCGCCTGCCTCTGCCTCCTGAGTGCTAGGATTAAAGGTGTGCACCACTACCACCTGGCACTGAGAAGCTTTTTGTGTGTTTACTGACTCTGTGGGTTGTGTTTCCAGTTGGGTTGTGTTCTTTACTACGGAGTTTCAGGAGTTCTTTATGTTCTATATGAAAAGCTAAGCCTGAAGCTATAGCTGTGTGATAGAACCCTTGTCTGGCAAGCATGAGGCACACCTTAGCCTCAACCCCCAGTACACCAAAAACGATGGTACTTTTTCCTATCTTTTCATTTTGTTGTTGTTTTGTTTTGTTTTTTGTAATATGTATGGGTTTTTGGCATGCATGTACGGCTGTGTACTGCATTCATGCAGTACCTGTGGGAGCCAGAAGAGGGCACCAGATCCTCTTGAACTGGCCTGACATCGGTATAGAGGCTGGGAATTGAAGCCCTGGCCTGGGGAAGGGCAGCCAGTGCTCTTACTTACTGAACTGTCTCTCCAGCCCAGGCATCCTTTGTTAATGTTGTCCTTTGATGCAGTGTTTTGTGTTCTGATGAAGTACCATTCACTACTCTTGGGTTGGTTGTGTTGCCCAACCCAAGTTGGGGGGTGAGTAGGGGTGTCACGTGAGTAGTGAAGTTGTGGCTCCTCACAGCCACCGAAACCCACACTTGCACCCCTTCCCCAAATCTGCACTGTGGACCGTTGGACGGAAGGGATGAACAGTCCCAGGGAGGAATACTATCAGGCAGACACTTCTCATCTTACCGCGCTTGCCTTGGACAGTGTCACAAGCACAGAGATGCCATCTTGTCCTCTGTCCATCTTCCTCCCTGCCGTTCTGGGAGAGGACTTAGGCGCCGCCTCACCAACGACATTGGTCAGGATCATATCACCCCCACCCCACTTCTCATCTAGCGATTCTCTCTAGCTTTAGGCTGGGTTCACCCTGCTGTTTAACTTGTCCGCATACGGTAAATCCTGTCCGTACACATGTAGGTCATGGGTTTGCACTGTGTATTTTTCCAGGAATGCTGTGGTCATCTGTAGTCATGCAGTTTTCTGTTTGCTTTTCATAGCCGGTTCTTCCAGATAATCCTTTTGTTGCTTATGCGTCCTAATTTCTTACCTAAGCTGTGTCACGTTCCCCGCTGGAGAATCCCAGTGTGTGCGCTAAGCGGGGCCTGCTGACCGCTCGCAGCGGCCTGCCTTTTCATGTGCCTTTTACCTTTATGAGCTCCTTTAGCTGCGGGAGCCTTGGAAGCCTTTGGGAAGATTTCCGGGAGGGTTTGCTGTTGTTTCTGCCAGGAGCTGCAGGACACCAGTTCCCACCAGCCACTTGGCTTTCCCTAGAAGTGACGCACGCGGGGTGGCTGAGCTTTAGGCCTGTTGGTAAGCTAAGGGAGCAGGGCCTGGGACCCGGCTTCACCTCACAGGCCCCAAGCTCAGGAGCCAGAGCAGAGTCACCCACTTCATCACCTGTGCTGTGTCTTGATGGTTGACATAGAAAGACCCAGTGCATTGTGGGTAACGCTGTTCCTAGGTAGGGAGTCCGGAGCAGCGTAAGAGAAAGCTGGCTGCCGGCAAGCAAGGAAGGAGCTGTGTGTTTGTTTTCTCTTTGCGCTCGTCTGCGGATTTGAAGTTTCCTGCTTTGGCTTCCTCACAGTACTGTGAGGAATTGGAAACTGAACAAACCCTTCCTCCCTGTGTCCCAGCAGCAGCAATGAAACTAGGACACCACCGTCCGGCATCACTTCTCTCTATTTGCCTTTTTTTTTTGAAACAGGGTTTCTCTGTGTATCCTGGGCTGTCCTGGAAACCACGCCTTAGACCAGGCTGGCCTTGAACTCACAAAGACCCACCTGCCTCTGCCTCCCCAAGTGCTGGGGCTAATTAAAGGCGAGCACCACCCACCGCCTGGCTCTATTTGTGTACTTCTCTCTTTCCGCTTAAATTATTTTGTGTGTGTGAATGCTTTACTTTCATGTGTGTCTTTGCACCTTGTTTGCACCTGGTGCCCATGGAGGCCAGAAGCGTGTTGGATCCCCTAGAATTGGAATCACAGATGGTTGTGAAGTGTCATGTGGGTGCTGGGAATCGAACCCAAGTCCTCCGAAAGAGCAGCTAGTGCTCTTACCTGCTGAGGCATCTCTTCAGACCTTCTCCTACCCTCTTAAATCCCAAAGTGTCAAAAAAAACTATCCTCAGGAGTATAGAATTGCTCTCAGGTGGGAGGGCCCTACAAATCACTTAGCCAAATCTAAGCAGCGGGGTGCAGAGTTGCTATGCTGAGCTCTGTCTGCTGAACACTTGGTGTTGAGTCGCTCTGAGTCTCCGCACAGCCCTTAGGTGCATATTGTTATCCGTGTCTCGAAGACGAGGACACGGGTACAACACGGGCACAGAGTTCGCCTGCCCAAGTTCCTACACTGCTAGCAAGAAATAAAGCTGGTAATTAAAGTCCCTGCTTATTCTACCATGCTGTCATGTTAAGTCAGTGTGTGCCGGGTACGGAAGTGGCTTTGTCTGCCGACGTGGACGCCCCTGTGTGTGTGTGGCTGCCTTTGGGGCTCCCTCCACTGCCATTGCTGTCATCGTCACCTTCACGTGGCTTGCTCTGACCATTGCATTTGTATTTTTTTTTTTCAAATGGGGTTTCTCTTTGTAAAAGCCCCTGGCTGTCCTGGAACTCACTAAGGACACCAGGCTGGCCTTGAACTCACAGAGATCCACCTGCCTATGCCTGGGGTTACAGGTGTGTGCCACCATGCCTGGCTGTTGGGATTTTTTTTTTAAATATTTATTTTAGGCAGGTGTTCTATCTTAGCCAGGGCTGGCCTTGAACACCAGCATTCTCCCTCCCTCCACCTCCTGGAGGAGGCTGGGATTACTGTCCAGATCACTGAAGTCTGTCTACTGGAGACTGGTGAGGTGGCACAGCAGGTAGAGCCATGAAGCCTGTGGACTTTGCATTTGATCCCGGATACTCACATGCTAGGAGAGAAATGACTCCTCTATGTCGTTCTTTGCCCCACATGCCTGGGCTAATGCACATGTATGCATATATGTACACAAACAGACATCAGGCTACCTAGAAGTCAGAAATGGTGCTGGGAGGTGGCGGCACACACATTTAATCCCTGTACTCTGTGAGTTCAAGGCCAGCATGGTCTACACAGAGTTTCAGAACAGCCAGGGCCTGTTACATAGCGAAACTGCATCTCAAAAAAATGCTTTTGGAGTTCCAGGATAGCCAGAACTACACAGGGGAACCTTGTCTCAAAAGACAGAAAGAAAACAACAGCAAAAAATTAAATGTTGTATATTATTGCTGCTGTTGTGGCTACATTTAGATTTTAGCTGCTCGCATGTTTCAGGAGGAGACTTCAGCTCAGCCTGGGTGACTTCAGTGAGACCCTGTTTCAAAGCTTGCTTATCCGTTCTTAGTGGGTGTGGCACACACTTATAATCCCAGCATTCAGGACACTGAGTTTAAGGCCAGCCTGGTTTACAGAGTGAGTTCTAGGACTATGTAGAGATCCTCTTTGGGAGGGGGGAAAAAAAGCTAAAAACACCTCCCCCATGCTTCTGTTGTATCTTGTGTCTATGTACTGGTGCCCACAGAGGCCAGAGGCTGTGGGTCACTCGAGCTGGAGGTATAGGTTGTTAAGAGACAAATCTCCCCGCCTGGCCCTCTTGCTGAAATTTTTTTTTAGAACTGCAATGTAAGGATTTTTAAAAGATGAGGCCAGGCAGTGGTGGCGCACACCTTTAATCCCAGCACTTGGGAGGCAGAGGCAGGCGGATCTCTGTGAGTTCGAGACCAGCCTGGTCTATAGAATCAAAGGCATTCTTATTGCCTCATCCCTGCCGATGAGCACGCGGGAGGCGTGAGAACAGCAGAAATGAGGAAGGCTCAGGGGCGAGAGTGTGGGAAGCAGGAACTTGATCTAGATGCCATGTAGTTGGTGTTGGCGGCTCTCCAAAATGATCTGGTTTTTTGAGACTCGGTAGGTCTCTTTTGAGCTCATGACCTTGGTGAGAGGGCAGCTGGAATGACAAGAGTTCAAGGGTCACAGAGATGGAGATTTGGGCGTCACTGGATTATTGATGATGATTAAACCCCTAAGACTGGGTAGGATCACATAAAAGGTGTGAGATAGCATAGTACGTTCCAGGACAGTCAGAGCTACAAAGTAAGACCCTGTCTTGGGAAAAGGATGTGTGTGTGTGTGTGTGGTGGTGGTGGTGGTGGTTGTTGGTCCAACAAAGAATGAAGTCTGAACCAGAGAACAGGCAGATCTTCAAAGAGGGGATCAAAACCTGGCAGGCAGGATAGAGAGCTAGCGCCCTCACAAAGCCTTCCCTTATGTTCCATGCTTCCCTAAGCCCAGGGTGAGCTCTCAAAATCAGATGGACTTCATCTCCCGTCACACTTCTGTGCCCAGGGACACACAGCCAAGAGACTTAAGCAGACGGACATTACTCCTTTCTCTCCTCCCAGCTCCTGTTAAGGAATCAAAAAAGCTGATGCCCAGAACATCCCTACCTACCGTCAAGAGGCTGGCAGCAGCTGCCTTGGCACCTAGCAAAGTCAAGTAAGGAGGAGGAGGGCATTGGGGAGGAGGGGGATGCAGAGGAGAAACCCCTTCCATGCCTGTCTCATGTTGCTGATGGAGATGTGTTCCAGGACATCTTCCACACCCAGTGGGGACAGCCAGAAACGCCCCTCCCGAGACGCCGGTAAGGGTTCACTTCCTACAGTGGAAGACAGGGATGGGGGGGGGGGTGTTGCCCAATAGAGGTGAGCTTGGGTCTCTGAAGTTCTACTTTCATAGGCTTCAATGGCAGCTTCCTCAATGGGGGGGCACGGCAACCTGGGAGAAAGCGACCCGGAGCCCAGGCTTCTCAACAGCATTCTGTGTCGAGTCAGGTGAGAGGTCAGAGACGTGGGAGAGGGCATTACTGGAAGGAGATGGTTCCCACAGGTGTGTTTTACAAGGGTAAAAGATCCCAAGGGAAACAAGGAAGCTACTTTAAGGTAATCAGCTTCCACCTAAGACCCCATCCCTACCATCACCGCAGGAGGATGACCAGAGAAGCCCAGGAAAGGCCCCCTCCACAAATAAAACCCCCACTCCAGATAAAACTCGGCTTCCAGATAAGACCCTTGGCCCAGAGAAGAACCCAGCTCCCAACAAAGTCTCCACTCCAGAGAACCACGTTCCAGAGAAAGCCCTGGATTCTGACAAAATCCCCACTGCAGAGAATACCACTGTGGACACGGCTGTCACTACAGGGAGTGCCCTTTCTGGGGATGAAGCCCCTGCCCTAAAAGCCCCAACTAAAGAAGAAATCTTTGACCCGAAGGCGGCCCTTCCTGTGGACACTGCCCCCGCACTAGTAAAGATCTTGACCCCAGAGCACATGGTTTTTGAAGAGGACCCTTCTAGAGAGAACACTCAGTGCCAGCATTTGCCTCCAGAAGAAACCACACAGGGGTCCCAGTCTCTTGCACCTCCAAATGACATCCAGGTGCCAGGACAGCACTTTCAAGCGTCAAACCCCTCCGAGAGGTCCTGCTGTAAGATGAAACATGGACACGGGGACAGCTGCCCAGCCCACTCCAAGCCTGAAGATGAGGCTGCCGTGACGGGTCTGCCACCCAAAGATGAGACAGCTCCGAAAGAACCACTCCCCAAAGAGCTGCCTTCTGAAGGGGTGAGTCCCCAAAAGCAGGTGCCTCCAAAAGAGTCAGTCCCCACTCCCCAAGTACCACATACTATCAAACGGATGCCAGACCCTGAAGGAGCTCCCACACTTCATCCCGTGGTCCCACTAACCTCTTCCGAAGGCAAGAGTGCCAGCGCCAGCGCAGATGCTATGGATGTAGCATCGCTAAGGGAAGAGGTGCGGTCACTAAAGAGCGCGCTGGAGCTTCTGGAGTTGAAACTGGAGTAAGTGGGCGGTGATGCAGATGGGCGGGGCGGGAGGCAGGGAAGGGTCCAGTGTCTCACCTGAACTCCGTATCCACAGACAGAAGATGAGTGATGTCTGGGAGGAGCTGAAGACCGCGAATGAGAAAATCCAGCTGCTGGAGGTGGGTGAAATGCAGACCCAGGAGGGGAAGGGCGGTAGCTGTTGGCTCGGGTCCCTGATGCCCTCTCCCGACTAGGTTCGGACGATGCAGAGGACCAAGAAGTCCTTCAAACAGGCGCAGACACAGACGGAAACACAGCCGGAGGAATAAGGGAGGGCTCAGGCGGAACCTCAGCCCGACCTGGAGGGACATCCATCCTGCTCGGGCCACCCCGACCCTTGCACACAACTTTGAGAAACTCCAAGGAAGTAAAAACTGAACTCTTAGACCATCCTGGTCCGTGTGGGGCGGGGCCAGCCAGCACACCACCCTCCGCATTCCTGGCGCGCTCTCTCGGGCACATCTGGCCAACATGTGGCTCCCATTACCATTCTCAAGTCCTGTGCAAGGCTATTTTTATCCACCGGATGGTTGGGGGCGGGGTGGGGGTTGTAGTCTCCTTCGGAGGCCAGCCCTGCGCTAGATGCAGGGTGGAGGGGCCCAGACCCTCCTGGATTCAGGAACCCAGCTGTGCGCTAGAGGGGTGGAGCCGGCCTTCTCTGGGCCCAGCTCCTCCCAGTTGGCCTCTGCCCGTAGGGACCTCTGTGTCCACTCACTTGGAATGATACTCGGCCCAGAAGCGAACTTCTGGCTTCGCTCAGGCACTAGGTCTAATAGAATTAACATCCAGGTCTGAGCCCTAGGCATCCCTGGGTGATTGCAGTGACATCCCAGGCAGGTCATAGGGCAGGGGACTAAGTGACATTTGTCCAAGCGTTTGGCTAGTAAGGAATGCCTGTAATATCTGTCCCGTGTGCAAGTACGACAGGCATGTGTCGGCCTGATTCTTTGGTCTGTAAAGTGAGCACAAGCATGCATTGGATGGACCCCCCAGAGGGGGTGTGACCAGCAAGCAGTGACACCCGCATCCCTGGGACTCCCCTGCAAAACCGGAGCCTGGGGGACTGCTGAAAGCAGCGGCAACTAACGAGACTGAGTCGCTGAGACTAGCTTTCATTGGTCATTGATTATTACCAGGAGGAGAAGGTGGGACCTGGCATTTTTCCCCCACCCACACCTGCCCAGTAAAGAGTGCTTAGCAGGCGGCGATCCACGCCCAATAGCACCAGGAGAATTGGAGCAGAGGCAGTTTGAAAGCCCTGGGGCAGCACTGAGTTCAGTCCCATGTCCAGTATTCAGGGGACCCATGCTGTGGGTCGTGTGTCAATAATAGTGCATACGGCCCAGTGTGCCTGTGGCCGTGGCTCCCGGCCCGAGCGTACCGGTGCCCAGCAGGTCTGGCTGCCCAGTGCGCCAGATCTCCCGCAGGATTCGCTCACGCTCCTCCAGCCGCTGTGCCCGCTCTAGCTCTTCTGCGGACGTGAAGACATTGACACTAAGGGGCCCGTCGGGCTCAGTGGACAGCTCCTGGCCCGGGAGAGTGTCATCCGGGCCCAGCCTCGTCATGGTGTCTTCATCCTCGTCGTCCTCATCTTCGGGCTCTAGGGTGCTGCTGCGAGGGTCCCGGCGCGGAGCAGGGGTCCGGGGCCGCGAGCGAGGCGCGCAGGAGATGCTGATGACTAGTAGGCACAGGGTCAGCAGCAGGCCGAAGCAGACGCCCAGCACGAAGTAGAGACCGAAGCTCTCGGGGTTAGCTAGGGAGCAGGGAGCGGAGGTCATAGGGGGGCCTGGCAGGCTGGAGTCGGCCCAACTGGGAGAGATCCAGGGCCTAAGTTTGGGGCACAGAAGAGAAGGGCAGCAGGGGACAGGCATCTGGGGATAGGACTGAGCAGCTGGGAGTGGAGGGCTGCCTGGGTTCTGAGACCGGCTCCGTTCTCCCAGGCCTGGCCCTCACCTCGGATGTGTGCATAGGCCGCCAGGCTGTTGCTGAGTAGCTCCATATCTCTCCTTGGGGCATCCATGCTGCTGGGGCGCAGCTCTCCTGTAAGCCCGCGAGGTCAGCCAGGTCAGGTCCTTCAGAGCCCAGGGCGTTCACTCCTGGGGCAGCTCCTCCACCCTGGAGGAGAGCAGTTCCCCTCATTTGGTCACAGATCTGGGCTCTGCCAGAGAGTCCTTGCTTCTCCGCAGACGCCCCTTCATCCCGGGGAGCAGCGGAGAAGCCGCACACGCTCCGCCCCTTCGTGGGGTCCCCAGGCGAGGCCCAGCGCACGGAAGGACGAGGCGGTGCCTCGGGCTCCCCTGCCGCCTCCCTCCTGCACCCCTCCGCCTGCGGGGCCTCAGCCCTGCTCACTCACCCGTCAGCGTCCCGCTACCTGCCCCCCGGCAGTTGCGTCTCTCCGGGGGCTGCATACACCCGGGCCGGGCCGCCCCGTCCTTCTTAGTCGGTTTGCACCGTGGCGCGGCCGGACACTCCGATGGTCCAGCCGGCGGAAAGTTTCCTCTGAGGAAAGAGGAGGGACGGGACGGGGCGGGGCGGAGAGGCGGGAGGAAGAGCGCCTGGAGGAAGGGGAGAGGGGGCGGCCCCGGCTCCCCTACAGGAAGCCGCTGGGGAGGCCGCTCACAGGGGCCGCCCCAGCTAGTACTAACAACAACATCATTAACTAAACATCCCTAAGGCCTGGGCGCCGGAGGTACCCACCCCCCATAGACATTCCTTCTTGTAAGCCTACCAATCCTAAAATGTGGCTATCATTAAATCTCCAATTTGCAGATGATGTAAACTGAGTCATAAAGATCTTGAAGATCTTTGCCACATGGTCAGGACTTGAATCCACAACTCTCTGACTATAGGGGGCAGGCTCCAAACTACTTCCCTGTGCCTGGCTCCTCCTGTAATGGGGGCGGGTCCAAACCCGATCATCCTTCCAGCCCTTTGGTGGACCCAGCCGGAGTAAGCCATCACCTCCACGTCCTCATTGGTTCTCCGGGGAGAGAGGACCTCTCAGCCCCTCCTCCCAGTGGCCTGGCTGAGTGTGTCCAGCTGCTGTGGTCACCCAAGGTCAATGGCTGTAGGACTCGGCGGTGAGCCAGGCCCCGGCACGCTGCAGACCCCAGCGGGGCCCCTGCCTCTGCAAGCGCAGGGAACGTCCTCGCTGCTTTGCCGCTGGACCTGCCCAAACTCACACGTGTGCTTCCACCTGGGCTCAAGGCTTGCACAGAAGTGTGCTGGGGGATTTGCAGCTGGGCTCTTCATTCTGACTTTCGTCTGGCTACACCCCCCCCACTCCCCTCCCTATACTGGGGCTGGGGTGAGGGGGAGGCTTTCTTGGCGGGAATCTTGGGAAGGAGGAGGGGAAGAATGGGGAGAGGAAATTGCAGGCATAGCTGTAGGCGCTGCCTGAGGCCTGAGGGCCATTAACCCCCTCCCTGTCCAGGCTGCAGGACCACCCCCCCACACACACACTTCCCCAGGCCAACCTGGGTTCAAGTAGGGGGCAAGAGGAGACGGAGAAAGAAGTGGGCTGACTCACACCTGGGAGTATTTGTGACTGCTTAGTCGGCTTTGTGAGCATGCAGAGGTCTCTTGGCCACAGGTATACTTACCTATTTGCATATAATGCTGCTTCAGGATGAGAACAACCCCCCCCCCACACACACCCCATTCCACCCCGTTAGGAGATGCCTGACTACTCCTAAAAATGGAGATTCAGAATAAAGAGGTTATATAAAGTCTTTAGGAGGCAGGCACTCTTGGGCTGTGAGGTGCTGAGGAGAGGATGGAATCCATTGTGATGGGGAACACCCCAGGAAAAACGTAGGTCCTGAGGAGAGGGCACCCATGCCAAGATCTGGGGGAGAGTGTGTCTAGGTAGGCATAAGGAATAAGAGCAGGAGTGGAGTTCCAGGCTTGCAGAGAGCTAGCATCCGTGGTGCGGGACCATGCAGGCCACGTTGCAGCTCCTGAGGTGCTCAGATGTCATTGTAAGTGAATTGATAAGCCCTGGGGTCTTCAGTAAGGGAGTGTCATCACCCACTCCACACTTTGGAAAGACTCCTGAAGTGGCTTGAAGACAGGCTTGGCCACAGCAGGACAAGGACTGAGACAGAGAGAGCAGGGAGCAGGCTGGCATGTATTCAGGGGAACAATGGTCTGGGCTTAACCCAGATTAACTGGAGGGGTGGGGGGAGGCAGGTGGTGTCCTGAAGGAAGTTCCTGTGTGGAGGTGGTTTGGAGGGAAGAGGAATTTAGCCTTGATCTTGGGCTGTGCAAGCGAGGAAAGTCTTGGGAGCAGCAAGGTTTTTTTGGTTTGTTTGTTCATTTTATTTTTTCTCTGGGGGGTGGGGCAGGACTGAGAGTCAGGTTTTGGATATCAGATTAGATACCTGGGTGTGGGTGTTAGAGAGGCAGATGTAGCCCCAGCCCCCAAATACCATTTCCAGCAAGGAGAGACTAGATGGGTTTGTTTAGCATCCTGAGAATAGGTGGGTCACCCAGTTCAAGAGAACAGGGAGGAGGGAGTCTAAAGCCTGAGCCCTGAACACTAACACTGAGGGATCTTCGGGAGAAGGAGTCCTCAACAGCAAACCAGCAAGGCTTATATAGGGCTGAGAGGTAGTTAGCACCAGAATCAATACCAGCCTGGGGCAACATTTCAGTGCCGTCAGTGATGCCCGTGGAGGACCACGGCGCATCCTTGCTTCTCCAAGGTGTGTGTGATTGGCTAGTTGGACACATACAGAATAAGTAGTGTTGGGAATGTGTTTGCAGCACACAACGCCTGTCTGCCTTCTCTGCACCACCACACAGTTTGCGAGCTTCGGGCAAGGGGCTGGAGGTTGAAACAGAGACACGGACCTCTAGTCCCTGGTGAGAAGCCCTCTATTCAACAGCACCACGGAGGCTCATATACCCAACAGTCAAGTGGGCCAACAGGTGAAAACCTTACCCTCTGATCCTCAAGGCCAAGGCAACACGTGCTCGTGAAGCAGAGCTGGTAAACAACTTTGACACAGCTTTCAGTAACTCAAATCAGAAGGAAAGTAAAGATCCCTAGCAGGGAAGAGCAACTAGAGGCCAGGACTCGAGGAACGTGGTCTGCTGACTACATAAATGTTAGCGTGGGCTGCAGCCTAGCTTGTCCACCTCTGTGTATGGAGGAGTCTGTTCGTTTGTGTGGCGCACACCTGTTCTCTGGGGTCGGTATGAACGAGGTGTGAAGTCTGAGATAGCTCTCTGTGAAACTGCACAACGGTCTGCACTACCTACCCTGCCTAGCAGATCTGTCTCTGTCTGGAGGCAAACGTGACTCAGCCTTGGGGAAATGGAGGCCATGCTGAAACAAAGGGAGTGTTGAGGCGGATGCTGGACCCGGCAGAGGGACGGACACTACTGGAATGCTACCTTTTACAGCCAGCTCCTTGTGGTTAAGCATCGGAAGTGACGCCGTGGCCCCATGACTCTGAGAAGTAGAGAGCTATTAAAA